TGCTGCTGCTGAGCACCTGCTTCCATCTGCAGCCTTGCTCCTTGCGTTTGATTCCTCTCTTGAATATTAATTTTCTATATTGTTATTATCACCATCATCATTAAAGAGATATGGACATATCTCAGCCCACAAGTTTTCTCACTTTTACCCTTCTGATTTTCTACCCATAGCCTGGTAGGGGCAAGTGAGTGAGCAGCCATGTGGTGTTCAGCTGCCAGCTGAGGTTAAACCACAACCACAAGCATGCTGAAAGTCTGAATTACAGTGAAATTTCAGAGACAAAAGTCTCCAGAAGCCTTAATTTGTTCCTCTTCTCAAACCATTCCAATTTAAATTTATAAATTAACTGTCAGTCTGGTAGTCTAGGCTTTTAAAATTCCATTTCAGAAATCTTCGAAGAAAATGTTGCTTAAATATAGTATTGCTGGACTTTTATTTTTGATTAAACATATTAATTGGATGCAATTTAAACTAATTGCAAATTACCTTGAAAACTGGATTATTACTTTAAAATTAGCAACTGCCTAATATTGACATGTTGGAAATGTGACATTAATTGTCTCAAGTTGTATGTAATTTATACACAAAAAAAGAGATCATAATACTATAAAAATGCTGAAAAACTACTTGTTCCATAAACAGGTAACATGCCCTGTGCAAAACTGGCCTTGCATCACCATTTTTGAAGTGTTTTGCTATTCTTGTGCCTTGCAAGCAATAAGACAAGTGAGAAAGGTCACAAACCTTTACTGACTTTGCAGTGTGAACCCAAGTAACTGCCCTGCAGAGTGAGCAGCTGCCAGATGCTGCTGGAGCCCAAGGGAACCGAGGCTGCAGGCTATCCCAGCTATCCCAGCGCGGAGCACGGCTCGCAGCTCTGGGAGGGGAGGATGCAGCCCCTCCCCACAGCACAGTGCCCTGCACGAAACCCAGCACTGCTGCTCATCTTGCTGATAACCTGCTTCTTTATGTAATCAGCAGCAGAGTTTTATAGATGACCTTGCTAAAAATGAAAAAACATTTCTTATCATACAAATATTAAAACCTGAAAATCTGCCAGATTAATTTAAAGAATTTGGACGTTAGTACCATTTCACAGTGACTGCTAACTTGAAAGCTGCAAGATAATTTTTTGAACAAGTATAAATATTTGTACATATGATCTGCATTTAAGATTTATATTCGCAGTCAAATATGAAACACTGTGTATCATCTAGTTCTGGACAAGGTTCAAGAAGGCAAGTAAGAATAGACTCATCAGCTTTCAGACCAAACCAAAGTAATTCTAATTTTTAAACCAATAGGATTTAATCACTTCCATAAAAATAGTTTCAATAGTAACAATTTCCTTATTCACAACCTATACACAACTTGAAAAAGCACAAATTATTATCAGCTTCCTTTTCAGCTCTTTGATTAGGCTGGCATTTAGAAGGAAACACAGAAAGGGATTTAAATTGGCATTCTACCAGTGAACAGAGAATCACAGTATTTTATCTTACAAAGTTAATCACACCTCTCCCAGTCTGAGCTACTTGTACAAAACAAGCACTTTGGGAAAAATTTTCATACCAAGCGCCAAATGGTTCTGCTCCCTTCTTTGGAGCATATGTGGAATCCCAAGAATTAAAAGTGGGATTCCATCAAGATATCACAATTTGCATATACTGTTTTCTAAACTTAAAAACCAAGACCTACTGACTAAAGCATTAATGCAAAAATTAATTTACCATCTGCAATTACCAACCTGTTTTCTGTTCTATGTTACTGACTTCATTTCAAGTCAGTCTCACTGAAATCCTAATTTGGCAGTGAGGCATTACACCACAACACATTTTCAGTCCTGTTAGAAAAAGCTCACCAAACTTTACATCCAACATAAACTCCAAGGAAACCTGCAGATTAGGCTAATTTTGGGAGAATTATCACCAAATTTCTTGAAAATAAATTATTTCTTTCTAGAGAAACTGTGTAAAGTATTTTTTTAATAAAAATAACCCTGGAAATTAAGACAGATAACACACTAATCTACAACATTGGTATTAAGGGTGAAAGCCATTTCCAGACACATTAACTTAACTTAGTAAAGTTCCTTGGCTCAATACACTTCATGTATGAAATATCTAAAATTTAAACACTGTTTGCCCCTCTGATACTATTTCTTCCATAAAGATTTGGGGAGCATCCTACATACAGATGCAGGCTCAAAAAAATATAAAAAATCCCCCCAAACAAACAAAAACATAAAAAATCCCCCCAAACAAACTAGATTTTCAATTTTACAGCAGTATTTAAAGAAAATAAATCACAGATTTTTTTTGAGTTGTTCAAGCTCAATCTATGAAATTTTGCAGATATATCTTCATTAAGTGTTGGGTACTGCTAATTTAGTGCAGTATTTTAAATAACTAGCTGTATTGTTTAAAGGTCAAAGACAATCTGACCTAGCTCTCAATCTGCATAAATGTCACCTTCTCAGGAGGAAAGAATTTAAAATGCTATGACTCTTTCCACAAAAGCTGCTCCACAGAAGCTGTCTGACAAAATGAATTTTCCACATTCACGAAATGCAAAATACACTGTCTTTTGCATCAGGCTCTCAAACAGCTGAACACATGTGAGCTGGCAGCAGCCTGTGAGGAAGCACATACACACACAGAGCACACAGATACAGCACACAGGCATACACAGGATAATTCAGAACATTTTCTGGGGGAAAAAATTAATTTACTTTTCCACATGATGATTAACATGGAGCATCCAGCAGAAGAAATCAAACTTGCAGTTTACTTTTGATGTAGATCCATGAGACAACTGAAGCAATCTAATAGCACAGCCCTATCAAAAGAAAATCCTCCCCACCTCTTTCTTTGTACTTGCCCTGGGATTCCTCTAACCCAATCAGAGGCAATTCAGCCCACTAAGCCAGCATAAAATTATTCACTTGTGTTGCTGGTTCAAATTGATCCAATCCATCCATTTATTTCCCACCTTACATAGCCCCTACTTTCAAATGTTTTTCTAAATAACACAGTATTTATTTTGATTTATATTCTTGCATGGAGATCAAGAAACCCTAGTAGCCAAAATGTATTGGTCAACTAAGACACAAAATATTCAGTAAACAGACACAAAAACCAGAACCAGCTGTATCATTGCTTTAAATTTCTCTTTTAATCCATCAGTGGCTGGTAAATCTCCATTTTTATATATCATTCATTCTCAGCCCATTCTGGCAGTAACGTTCTCTCATCAATGTGGTGATTGAAACTGGGTTCCTGATTATAGTAGCTTAGTTTACTTCTGCTCAAAAAAACTGTAAACAATGGCAGGAGTTCTGTAGCCATACACAAATTGAAACATGAATTTTGGCACTTGTTCATGTCACTGCAAAGTACATTTGATTAAGAAAAGCCAGGAGCAAACTATTTTTGTCATCTATGCTGTTGTCATTAGATGCCAGTATTACAGCCACAGAAAAAGTAAAAAGATGATGAGTACTGTTTTCCATCATCCATTTTGTATTTTTTAACATAATATTCTCATTGTACCAATAGCAATTTTTCTGTGCTTTTTGCTTCTGCAGAATGACCCCCTCTCCAAACAATAATCTGGCTGAGAATGCATTTAACTGCTCTGGTATGTAAAATGTTCATACTAACACTGGTATAGGATCACATGATGAGACCCAATCCCAGAACAAGTATGAGAAGAAATGCATCCTTCTGTTTTAAATTCTTCTCACTCACAAGACGTCAGCTCAGAGTTTTACCTGCTGTGAAATACCAAAGGCAAAAGAAGGAAGTCTCACTTGTGAGATGTGGTTGATGGAAGATTCCATGCGCCGGAGCTGGGATGCCTGGATATCCAGCATTTGGAGAACATTGTTGGCCAAGGTGTTGATCAGATAGGCCACGCTTGCTAAGGACTGCGTTGTGTAGGCTTTGGTTTCTTCCAGGGCTCGCTGCTTATCTGCTGACTGAAAAACACAAAGCAAAGGCCTATTTAGTATGAAGTCTTTCACACAAAGATTCTTGGAATGAACTCTTTTTGCCTCTCTTTACAGACAACGAATTATACAAGTCAAACTAATTCTAAATAAAAGTTACTATTTTTCCACAGAAGATACCTTGGTATATTTAAAGCATTTCGACACTTTCTAACAAGAATTAAGCTCCTTTTCTTCTTGAAATATACTCGGATTTTTCTCGGAAAAAGTTCAACTTCTCATTCAATATTTTAGCAATTTACTTGAAAAGCACTCTGAGACACCTATCTTAGATTTTGTACAGTTTAAAACTGTTTCATTTTTCTAAACTTGGTACTTCATTTATAACTCAGCCTACAAGGAGCTGCCAAATACCATATTCCTCATCTCTCCTAATCACTTAATCCTCAGTCTCCTAATCATTGTTGTTACAAATAGTCATTCACAGAGAATGAACTATAATTATTCCTGTAAGATGGTAGCTGAATACAATGTGAGAGGAATCCTTTTACTAAGAGTAAGTCCATGTTTTCTTCTTGAATATGTTTTGTACTTTTTCACATTGTGAATACTTTCTTCTATGAAAAATTAATATGATCCATTTTTCTAGTAGTAGAGTACCTGAAAGTATTTAGGCTATCAACAGACAAGATATCCATTAGAAATTTAAAAACATACACACATTTCAAACAGCATTAAAACAATAAGCTAAGAATTCTAATTTCTGGAGTTCTGTGTTTGTCCTTGAAAAATAGTTAATACCACTAAGATGTGATCCAGTACAAAGAATACAGATTAAAGCACTGGTAAAATATACACCTAAGATGCTAAGAAACTTTCCAGTTTTCAAGGCTTCAGTATAAAGTAAACTTCACTTTCAGGTGATCTTTAGCCATCTCACAGGCTGATGGTGCTGTTTCTAAAGCAATGGTTGATAAATGTTCTCTACTCCTACCTGTCATTATTACATTGCATTTCATTATTTCCTCAGCTTTTTATATTATCCACATAGGCTGGGTATCAAGATCCAAGAAATTTGCTGTTATTGAAGAAGGAATATAAAGTCACTTCACATCTTTCAGCACAAGTTGAATCTAGCATCCATTGTATTATATGGACTTTGAGAAGGACAGAATGTAAGCATACCTGTATCTCAGGAAAACAATTCCTACAGCTCACTGTGTTTCCCAAGACCTTGTAGTAAGATTCTTAAAAGAAGATTGCTAGCTTTCATGGGGAAAAGAATCCCACACATGTAAACACAGACACAAGACTTCAATTGAATGTTTAGATGAAAGACAGTATTTTCTTAATTTCCTGCCAACTTCCTGTGTCCACAAACAGCACTGGTATCTTAGCTGGCCAGTTAGCAGCTGCACTAGAACCAGTTCCTCATCTGCTAGGAAGGAGCAGAGCAGAGCTGCTGTTCATGCAGGAGCTGCCTCGACACGGCAGGAAGGAGGAGTGCTGCAGGACTGAGCCTTCTCACCGGGTTTCTCTCCCATGCAGAAGACAAAACAAGACCAACAGAAGAAGGAACTGAAAATTTTAGGAGCTTCTAAGGGCACAGTACGAGGATATTGTCCAACAGAGCATAATTGTAAATGCTGCCTTATATTCAACAATAAAGAAGTGAGAAAAGTTAGATCCCCAGATCTCATGTAAGAACTCATGACTTTTAACCAGCTAGTAGTTATGTCTTGTACACAAAAGAGCTTGAACTCAGCTTAAGGACTCCCAAATGAAGATACATCAAGCTCTTCACCTCTATTCTCACATTGCTGCCCTGTAAATACACTTTCCTCCCCTGTCCCTGCTCACACCCCCAGCTCAGCCTGCACACTCCCCTGCAGCAGCTCCACAGCCATTCAAACCACTTCTCAATGGCAATAATAAAAATGACCAGGAGCTGGCCTGTTTGGCTCTGCAGCTGCTGCCAATCTATTTATAGAAGCAGAAAATGCTGATTTCCATTAGTACACTGTATATCCAGAGGAGCTGAGCATAATCCAGCAAACACAGTGCTTTTTCATTAATAGACTACGTGTTTGAGAACAAAAGGAAAGCCACCTGTAATTTTAAATATCATGAGCCTCTGCTATGGTTTTTCTGCTTAAAGAAGCACAAATATGAATCCATGTTCAGATCTAGTCCTTCCAGGGATGTAACCCACTAGCTAAATTCAAGTCACCCCCAGTTCCAACCAACAAGGAACTGACTTCTCAAATGCAAAACACATTAAAAGATCTCACAAAACGATACTCTAAACTACTTTGGAACTGTTATTAGCACCAAAACCCATTTGATTGGTGTGTCTAATTAATGTATTTAACTGATCACTACTGGTTTTTGCAGAATCTGAAAATCTCTGAGGCAAACTCCACTCACATTTGGCACAGCAAAACTAAAGTTTGAACTTTCTTCCTGTGAAGAATCTTTTCAAATTAAAATGACTATTTGAACCTACTACTGTCAATCCATTACAAAAGAAGAAAAATAATTAGTGACAGCATTTTAAAAAAATCATGTTTACCCTGAAAACTTTCCAGTGCTGACAACTTCAATGACTCACAGCAATAGTAAAAACTCTAGAATACTTACAGAAAAATCTTAAGTTCCCCTGTGGAAATATAACAATAAATGTCAGTTGAATTGTAACTTGAAATGATAAGTAGTGTTTAGCATGAAATACATCTTTTAATTTGATAAGTAGATTTCCAGAGATGGTATCATATTGCTCCTATGTAACAAGATCCCTATTTAAACTCCACATGGACACCAAATTACATTGCTTGCAAATGCTGCCATGCTCACTGAGTGTGTAACTATGTAAATAAAGGGATTTCTGCTAATAAGATAATGGTTTCAAGTTATCAGTAAACAAAATTCAAACATAATCCTCAGCAGTCTAAGTTCTGATACTCCTGATCTTCCTAACACAAAAATACCAGTCAGTATGCTTCACATGAGACTGTAAGGCAGACAAAAAGTTGTATCAACATCCATACCTATCAAAATTCTCTAGAGAAAGAAAAAAATATCAAACTGATAAGACTCTACAGTAATTTCAGTAACCTATGGAATACTGTTTCTGTGAAGAATATCAAAAACAAGAGAAACGTGTTCTATGTTCTTTATAACAAAAAATCTTTTTCCTGTGGATACTTAAGCATATAAACCAGAGTCCTCAAAGCCCTTCAGTTCTCAGAAACATTGTGTTCAGCATGATCAAGCACTGATAGCAAGTGTTTTCAGTGCCCTGATCTAAATGAAATGCCATGAAGCAGTATCTCTCCATTTCGGTTTTTAAGTATCTTTAGCATTCACACACATAAAATTATGCATGCCTATGAAAAAATACAGGCTCACAACATCTATCCACACACAACTCTTAGAAAAGCAATCCTTCCAGCCATTAGATCAGTCTGATCTGTATTTTTAAATGGATAATAACGTTAAGAAATAAAAGCTATTGTTTGACAGACAAGTCTTCTGAAACACTGCCAGCACAGGGATCCTCTCATTCCTAGACCTAACATACCCATCCCATTGTCCCTGCAGGGCCACATGGCAGACTACGTACCTGACCTAGTTCTAACTAACTTCAGAAACAAATGCTTGTTTTCAGCTCCAGCCACTTGCATTATCCTCCCTGACATGCAAAATTGCAAACACTACCTGTAATAAAACTATGTAGTTGCCACAAAGAAAAAGCAAAGCAACTCAGTGAATTATGGGCTGAGCAACTGTCATGGTACTATGGAGACTCAGGATCCACTTCCACCAGCAGTACCTGTCACAGGAAATGTCCCCAACACCAAGTGCACACTCCCTCTGCTGTAGTGAATTAGACCAGGAGGCACATCCCCAATGAAAATCATCTGATCCATAAACCAAATTATAAGTTTTGCCTCATCCAAACCACTGCATAGCCAGAGAAACACAAGGAAAGATACAATCAAGAATAAGGGGGGAAGAACTATCCAGAGTTGCTGAGCTTGCTAGAAAAGGAACAAGTGCTGGAACATCACTGCAGTCTTTCCAGTCCTCCACTGCCTATGGTTTTTCTTCACCGGAACTGTGTCTCTACCTCAAACTTGTAGCTTTGACTTCTCACACAATGTTAAAATACTTGAGTTTCACAGCTGGATCATCTTCACAGCCTTAAACAGAAATATTTAGATAACGTGTTCTGTGCCCATGTTATGGAGATTCCAGGCAAGAGCTTGGCATTTATTCTGTTTATCATTTTTCTCCACACAATGCACATCAGGTGTTCATGTGAGTCACAAGGCAGCATCCTTCTCTCCTGCTCTCAGCAGCAGGAGCACCATTTGGACTCACCACAGAGCCCACCTGATGCCCCCGCCAGCCCCACACGGACTGGGGACAGGGTCAGCTCCTACAGGGAGCTGCTCCCCCGCTGCAGCAGGAAGGGTTTCCCCTTGCACCCGGACCCAGCAGCAGCCATGGCTCTGCCCAGCTCTCCCCTGGAGCTTTTCCATTTGTGGGAGGCACCCGGTACTGAAACAGTTATTTTGTCTCCACCAGAAAACAAAACAAGCATCAGCTACACGGAAATGCTTCACAGGATGAATGCAGCCTGAGAGCTACAGCACACACTACAGTGACTGTACAAACTGGGGATTTTAGATAGCAGGAGATCAAAGTCACTCAAGTCAGCTACAAATGCACAGACTTCACAGGCAGTCAAAAAAGCCTGTAAGCCTGTCTTACACACACAAGGCAATAGTGTGAGCTTGCTTTCAGACACTGGAGAATTATTAGCAGTTTCCACTTCCTCATGCCAGTCCAACAATGGACACTAAATGTAACAGCTCAGGAACGATCATAAATGTTCTGCTCAAAAATACTGCTCATTTTCTATTAGATTGTATAAACCAAATTGCTAGCATTACAAATTGCATGGAATTCAACCTGCAGTAAATGTAAATATCACTACCTTTCATGTCAGGACGAGGAGTCCAGGCATTACTACTTCTTCCCAGTCTGGA